CCCCTCTAGATGTTATGGTGAAACAGTAGATTGCACTCACTGTTGCGAGAGGAGGCCAGCCGAATCTGGCTTCCCTTGGTGAAAAAAAATTGAGGGATTGACCAATCAGATGAGGCTCACGTGATGCCCCTGCCAACCTGTGATTGGTCAGGGCCATGCCAAGGGAAGTCAGAGGCGGCTGGCTTCCCTTGCCTCACAATCCAATCAAATCGCATAGTGGTGCAGTGACGCATCCTAAAATCCGGAAGTAAGCTGCGCTCGGTTTCCCTCGACAAAAAAGCAATGAGATATCTCCATAGGATTTAGGAAAATAGCTCGAAATAAGGTCAGTGGAAAACGAACCTGTTGGATAAATGCAAGTTTTGTTCAGTCGGATAATATCCACATGTCTACCCTACTTTTATAATTTCCGAATCATAAATCTAATCGATAGATAGCGTCACTCTCACCGCCGTTAGAAAGTAGCAAGCAACTGAAGCAAGTGCAATTATGGAGGGTGGAGATTTGGAGTATTTCATCAAAAAAATAATTGTACTAAACTTCCGCTACAGCAGCAACAACAACAAATACAATCTGATGACAGGCATCATGCCCAAACTGGAGCTGTGTACAGCGAGGAAAAAAGGAGCGAATCGGACGTAAAACGTTAAAGGTCTCCTGATTTAGTTTGTGAATGAATGCTTATTAGAGTTTGGGCTGGAGAGTGCGTGCGGACCTGTCGGTTAGATAACAGGCGTGTGTAAGTCCTGCATCTGATACAAATGTGTGTAAAATGATACGGGGTGCTGTAATCACTCATCTGGTTACGTTATCACATTGACCACCACACCCCCGACCCAAAAGACAGGACGTATTATTGGCTTCCCCTAATTTTTTTCCCACGCCACGCTACTGATTGGGGGTACGATGGGATGTATAGTGCGTTCTTCAGAGTCACTTTACACCGTCATCCCTCGCTGTCTATCAGACACATCTCTGCTTCTCCTCTGCCTTGCGCCACCCCGAAGGTACGCCTCCCGTCTGCCAATTCCATGCCGTGTCTCTCCGCCTTGAAGGTGCTGTCAAAAATCTTGAATTTGTTGTCATCGTTGATGATGTGAGACGACGCTCCCGTGTCCACGATCAATCCTTTTCTGTGGGTCTGTAGTTGTTGTCTCTGTAGGCTGGTCTCTTTAGCTCGCACTTTGAGGGTGTAGTCATCTCCTCCCGCAGCTTCTCCGGTACCACCTGGCATGCTCGCGTCTAACCGGTGTGGTTAAGCGGTGGTGTGGTTACATCTGTTACACGCGCACCGAGCGGCATCACCGCAGTCCTTCTTTGTGCACGCTTTGTCTGTGTGCCCTTTGCTTTTACAAAAGCTACACCAGACTTTCTTTCTGCAGTCATCTTTTCGATGGCCTTTCTCTCCGCATCGCCAACATGCGCCGACGCGTTCTCTGTCGCCATCGGGGATGAATCGTTTGGCGGGCTTTCTCTTTGTCGCTGCTTGGACCCTCAGCACCCTCTCGCTCGTCTCGTCTGAGGCTGGGGCTGAATCTTCTGAGGCCTCGAAGTTCCTCAACTTCGCCTTGAACTGTCCCAACGTTACTTCAGTGTCACCGTGTGTCACCATTAGTGTGAACGGCTTGTATTTTTCGGGTAATCCCCGCATAACCATCGCCATCCTTACGGCCCCTACACACGGCGGCGTGCGTTGCCTCTTCAACGCTTCTGCCCATTCACTTTGAATGGGGTGACGTCATGATTCGCCGAACTGCATTGTGGGAGCAAAGCATAGCTTTTCTCGCGGTGCTCGCTGCAAAAGTAGAGCAATGTTCTACTTTTGACGCCTCGATGGAGGCGTCAGCCAATCAAATCCCGTTTATGCAAATCTACCAGTACAAGCACTAGCCAATCAAACCGCGTGTATGCTGGGAGAGCCAGACCGCAGTTCATTTCCTCATATAACAAAAAATGGAGGAGAAAATAATCGTAGCGGTAGGGAATCACCCGGTGCTTTATGATCAGTCCCTGTTCACCTACCGGGATACAAACCGGAAGAGCCAGGCATGGAGGGAGGTGGCAGAGACAGTGAGTGAAACTGGTAGGTGTTCGCCTGTTTGGGGAGTTTATATCCAGTGTACTTCGTTTGAATGGACAGCTAGCAGACATAGACAGTATTTAGCCAACATGGAATGTTGCGTAAAATAGCACCATAGGCATTAATGTCATAAATGTTCATCATGTAAAGTGTGACATGTAAAACCTTTTATGCAATTGACAGGAGAGATTCATGTGATTGGTTGTTGCTCGCGTAAACTCCTCAAGCTCAAGACACGCCCACTGCCAAGCGGCAATGCACGCCGCCGTGTGTAGGGGCCGTTAGTCCCTCACTCTGTGCTTCTCCCGCGCTCCTGAGTGCCGTAATGATCTGCTCAGCTCGGATAATGTACTCTGTCACCGTCTCATTATCAGCTTTCTTCAGCGCAGTCATGGTTACAAGGTGACGATCCGGGGCCTGCCTTTTCCAATATAGTGCTCCCTTGATATTCGGAGACTTTCTCGGCCTTTGTTTAGTTTAGTTTATTTTTATTTTTTTCGAGCGTCGAAAATAAACAAAAGGTGATACAGACATGATACAGTACTATACAAATGAATGCAATAACAAAACGAAATATTTTATTAATAATTGAATAATCTGTAGTATCATTGTCTGATATCAATAAACAACAAAGCTTTAGCTAATTACACGTCCGAAAAGGGGTCGGAAGAAGTTTACACTTATTTAATCCGACCCCTTCTCCCTTTTTTTTTTTTTTTTACATCTTAATATGTTAACATACAATATAAATGTATACTTATAATCTTGAATAATTTGGATATATATACAGGCAAGTTAGGAGAATGGTCTCTATATATTTATATATATACATATGTACATACACAAATTCATACAAACACAAATTCATAAATGGAATACAAAACAAGAATATAAACAGTTATGGTTTAGCAGTTTCATCCCTGTACCTTGTGAGAATTGTGTCTTTATACCTCTTTTTGAATAGTTTGATGTCTGGACATTCCTTTAGCTCCTCACTCAAATTGTTCCAGATCTTCACCCCACAAACAGAAACAGAAAAACTTCTCTTTGTTGTGCGCACCCTAACATTAGTGAATATAAATGAACCACGTAAATAATAATTACCTTGTCTTTCATTGAACAATATCTGAATATTCCCAGGTAATTGAAAATGTTTTGCCTTAAACATGATTTGTACAATTTAGAATTCAACAAGATCTGACCGTTTTAATAATTTTAGCTCTAAGAATAATGGGTTTGTATGATCCCTATAGCATTTTTAACAAGTCTTATTGCTCTTTTTTGTAGAATAAATAGGAATTGATAAGTTACATATGTGTGTGAATGGTTTTGAAATAACATCTATAACCTTTTTTAATATAGTCATGTCAATGTCATCACAATCGGTACGTCTTTTGTTTTTACATTTCGTTACAATATCAACTACTTCCCTTTCATGCACTGCTGTGAGGAACATTGAGAAAGGATTAAGTTTTATTAAGTTTTCCAGCTTTTTTTCTGATGTTCAGGTCCAACATTTACAAAGAAATCATTGAAACTGTTGGATACAACATCCATATTTTCCTTATCCTGTCAATGAAGTCCTTTTTCTAGACCCATTTGTTATAATCAGTATGCTCCATATTCCTTTAATGTTGTTTTTATTTTTGTCTAGTATTTTCCGATAGTATTCACTTTTGCAGGTCCTTATTATAATTGTTAATTTATTTTTATATTTTTGATATCTAATCTCTGTCTCTTTTGTTTTATTTCGCATGAAATCTCTATACAATGAATTTTTCTTTTTACAGGCATTTTGTAAACCCCTTGTGATCCATAGACATTCTGCATATTTCATTTTTCTACTGTATTTGACAATTGGGCAGTATGTATTATATAATGATACAAATATTCTCAGGAATTGATCATATGCACTGTCAATATTGTTTTCTTGGTATAAATCATCCCATCTTTGTGCCAGTAAAGCATTTTTTAAAGCGTTCATTGCTTCCTCTGATCTAACTCCGGCATGTTATTACTCTAGTTTCTGTCATAAACTGCTAATACTGCCTGGTAGGTGGTCACTTATATCATTTATTAAGAGTCCACTTACTGTATTGTTTTCTATGTCATTTGTGAATATATTGTCTATGAGAGTAGCACAGTGTGATGTGATTCTGTTGGGTCTAGTAATTTTTGGATATAAACTCATACTGTACATTCATCATTGTCATGCTGTGATTATTTGGATTTAGAAGGTCAATATTGAAGTCACCACAAATTAAAACTGTTTTATCACTTTTGAGAATATTTCCTCCATCCAGTCCTTGAAAATCTCAATACTAGAGCCGGGTGCTCTATATATACAACTGATGATTACATTTTTCGTTTTTTCTTTGCAGATTTCAATCGTGATACATTCCAATACATTATCAATCACTGTTGACATATAATTCATCACCTTAAATTGTAAAGTATTGTCCACATACAAGGCTACCCATGTTTTGTCTATTTATGTATCTGAGTCCATAGCCCTACAGCTCAAAGTCTATGCCTTTGTCCTCCGTGATCCAAGTTTCAGATATGGCAATAATGCTAAATGTTTATTGAAACTGATTTAAATATTCCTTGATGAGGTTAAAGTTTGCATACATGCTTCTGCTGTTGAAGTGAATAATAGATAGCTTGCCCTCTGATGATATGCTCTGGTTGTACTGTTGATCAGTGTAATAACAGCAGTTGTTGATGATAGAAGAGAAGACATTATTGTCCGGGTCTATTTCATAATCCGGATCTTTTGTTTTATAGTCAGTGTATTCAAATGTTTTTAGCAACAGTTGGTCTTGATCCTTGATCATCTGAGACATATTAATATTTTCCCCTATTGAAGATGATTGCCTCCATTCAGTGTGAGTCATGGTTGTGTGTAAGTGCTTGTTACCTTATGTGTGGTCCAGAACATGAAGATTATTGGTATTCATCCAGATCCTCCATGTTTCTGATACCAGTACTTTGGCCTCCTCAGGTGTTCCGTTTAGCTTTATAAATATTTTGCAGTTTGTTGTCCAGGTGTTCTGAATTTTCCTCTGTTTTGTCATGAAGCGAGCCTTTCTTGCTATGTCGCCGCTGTACTTGGTCAGATGCTCGTTGATGTAGACATCTGATCCTTTCAGCTTCCTTCCTTGTTTGAGTAAGGCCGTTTTGTGTTTCCTGTTCACAAACCTGATGAGAATAGCCGGTTTGTTGCCAGCGTTACTCCTTGGCAGGGGGGTGGCATGCCTCGATGTTCTCACAGTCCAGTTCGATCCCCTTGGACTGGAGGAAAGCAGCCACCTGTTGCTCTGTGGAGCTGACATCAAGCTCCCCGGGCTCACCCCTGTTGTTAACGGTCACAGCACGAGCGTATGACCTGGGTTTTATGTTGAGCCCGGTAACGATAACATTGTTCATCCTGGTATATTGCTCAAGGTCCTCCACTCTGCTCTCCAGGTAAGTTATCCTCTTGTCCTTCTCAGCATTCTGGATCCGCAGATCCTTAACCTCTTTTTTACAAGGTCCAAAATGTTTTTCTGCTGCAACCTGACAGCAGAAATGTCCTCCGCCAGAAAGTCGAGCGACTTTTTAATGTCCTCGACCTCCTCCTTGTCCTTCGTGTCTCTGAATATCAGGCCTAAACTGGTATTGTTGAGTAGCGGCGCTAACTCACAATAGGCGTCAGCATTGAGCTTGTCGTCTTGAGCCCTCAGTGCCGCTGTCAGCTCTCCAGTGGGTGCTCGAAGGATGGTCTCCTTCAATCCCACTCTGTGCATGCAACACAGCATCCTCTCTTCCCAGAGCTCATACTCTTCTGCTTTCCCGTAAAACGTGGGCCACTTGCTCTTCCTCGTGGTTCTATTCGCAATGGCTTTTGCGTTTGTAGCTTCAGTAGCTTAGCTTAGGTCCTCGGTTCTCCCGATGCTAAATTAGCTTACCACATGGCTAACTAGCTACTCCTATGCTAAACGTGCTAACAGGCAAACTTCTCGCCTCGTTATCGCACGTGCGCTTCAAACTGTTGAATAATTCATCGTATCTGGGCCCATAACCTGTTAGCAGATTTAGATTCATACCTTTTGTCTCTCTGCAGCAGAAAGGTGAATATTCTCAGCAGTTCAAGTTTAGCCATTCATCACAGCGTTATTTATTAGATGCACACAAGTCAAGAGACTTAAGGACAGAGAGAGAAGGGGCGTGACTTCCAACGGTCTTGTACCCCAGGTAGTGACATCACAATCATGTGCTACAGCGCTATCCAATGAACACAGTAGTAGTCACAGCTACTTACATAAACAATATGGTACACAGTATTACATGGAGTCATACAATATACATGTCTCTGTATGTTATACCTCAACACGCTCAATGAACTACATCTCCCGTCTCGCACAACACACCAAGACGGCCGTCATGTTAGCACATTTCACGAAAAGCATTAAACGAGGAGAAAATCACTACAAGTCTGGGCATGTTGAGAGCATAGACTGTATATATAAATGGACGTAGTGTCCGTGACGTCACCCATAGGATTCTGCAGAGTTGCAGAGAAGCCCTTAGTAGGCGGAGTCGGCCACTAACGTCTCAACAGTGACGTCAAAGTCTAACTTCCGCCTGCTCCAGCCTGATCAAAATAAGATCAAAGAGGCAGAGCAGAGGCGGTACCTGCTGCCACCGAGCTGGAAGTTCCAGAGCTAGCTCAAGCTAAGAAGCTAAGCTAACATGAAATACATGCATACCAAGTTACTGCTTGGCACTTTGGTTTTGATAAAACAGTGTAGTTCCACTATATAAACGTTACATTCATAATCAAACGAGACAATCTGCAAGAGAATTAGCTATTTGTTGTTATTCTTAATGCTTATCATTCACATGTTAATACAATTAAATAAGTACCGATACATGCAGAACAATTGTGGTGATGTTCAGCTTACTAAGCAGGGGTGCACATAACTTTTTTGCCCTGGTTCTCAAAGGAGCACCTGGAGATGTTGCTTGGTGCTCATCCTTAAAATGAAATAAACTGTAACTTTTGAGGGGGTCTTGACTTTATTTGCCAGACACACGGCACTGAACACACATGCAGAGGTGAACACAGAACACACATGCAGAGGTGAACACAGAACACAAATGCAGAGGTGAACACAAGACAACATTAGCACGACCAGTAATCCTACAAGCTGTCATCACTACCCTCCTGACTGTTCTCCTCACTGTCTTCCTCTCTGTCAGACATGGTAGCTGATGATGTAGGCCTACTACTTTCTCTCTGGTTGAGTCTGCGATTAGCTGCTTGCATCCACAAGTCAACAGCTGGGTTTGGGTCGAAAGTCTCTGTTGTCATCTTAGACAAGTGGATGTAATCAAATAAGTATGTGAACATAACCAATAACCTACCATAGCCAACAACAAATTAATGTAACTTATTTTATTTTTGTTGTTCATATCTTATGTTACCTTAACATTTATTTATTTATGCATTTTTTTTTATCTTTCCAGTTTTAAAGGATATGTTTGGTTACTGTCCTATAGTATGCATTGGAATGATTTCAAACCTGTTTATCCCAATAATTATAAAGGAGTGCCTTGGAAATATGTGTTTACATAAATTGTGATCAAAACGTTTGAGACCCACTGAGATAACTTAGACTAAAGTTAACTATCTAAACACCCAGAGTCCTTTAAGCCCCTGTCACACTGTCCTGAAATTGACACCCGATGGACACACGATAAAGGAAATGTTCAAATTCGGCTGTGATCGTAGCAACATCGGGCCATTCGTGAGGGCATCTTAAAGATCAAATGCAAAGCTTCCAAATATGCTACATTTTTATAGAAATGTTGTTTTTAAGACTGCCTGTATTTTTTATTTTATTTAAATCGAGATAATACACCCAAAAAAAAGCTTTTTATTGATCCAAAACTCGACCCAAAGCCGTCTGAATTTCTGACATGTAATTCCCAGCAGCCTCCGCGCGCGTGACGTAATAGTGGCCAAACAGTCTCTGGACCAAATATCCCGACTCGGCAGTCTCGGTCACATGTTTTTCGAAAAGAAAACTGAATTAACATGGGTTATTGTTGAGCTTTTTGTTGTACGAACGGTGCGGGATCTGGGAGAGTTTTACATGCATTTCCCAAAGACCAAATCATCCGCAAAAAATGGATTTTTTTAGTGAATCGTGTTGGATGGCAACCGACAAAATGGAGCAAGTTGTGTTCTGACCACTTCGCGCGTGATGCATACGACGTTGATCCTGCTATCATGAAGTCTGTTGGTGGAGAAGCATTAATAGCACGTCGGAGGCTGAAATCCGGAGCCGTCCCCTCCACATTTCAGCACAAGAAACCACTGAAAGAACGAAAGAGCCGGGCGATGCAGAAACGCCAAAGAATTGAGGTAAACAACTTTTGATTAGATTTCAAAACGCACGGAGCACAGCAGATAACGCAGATAACGGAATTGCAGTTGTATTGCTTATAGAGGTGGGCACCGTTAGATTCTGTGTCTTTACGATCATAAACAATGTGTTGGATGTGGAGCTAGGATAAGTAATAAGGGCGCTAGGAGTGATAGGTTAGCATTTTTCGCTCGGGGCTAATTCACTGTTAGCATTGTAGTTTATCTGCAGCTCATTCATCGCTCCTCCACTCATAACGGAAAATGTCGAACGTCCTACAGTCGGTGATGCAGACTTCTTCTCCCATCTCTTCCTTCACTTTCCCATAGTTGTGGCAGCACTTGTTTTCTCGGCTTGTAGGCATGGTCTGGCAGTTTCCACATCTACACCAATTCTCAGCACCCTCGGCCTCTTCCTCAGATGGCGAACTTGAATCATCGCCATCAGCACTTTCATCGGTGATATCAGGTGACGTTTCCTTGTATTTCCTCTTCGACATCAGAGGCTCGTATAGATATGGTTGGATGTCGACAACATACTCCAGATATTGGGTGGCCTCCGACTCAGAATCAGACATGATAGACGAAACTAAGTTGTACTATCGGCGGAAGCCGCTGTGAGCCGCTGCGAGCATTTTTCGCTCGGGGCTAATTCAGAGGCTCACTCAGAGCGCCTGGACTTTATTTTTCTAAACCTCTCTAAAAAGGTCAAATTTCACTTGTTTTGCATCAATCTTGATACAGGGTACTTATTATATGTTATAGTTTGGATTCCTAAAGCTTTTAGTCTATAGTCTACTCAGAATCAGACATGATAGACAGTGGCGACTGGTCATTAGGGGCAGGTGGGGCACAGCCCCACCTAGTGTCAGCAGAAAGTATTAAAAGTAATGATTACAAAAAAATGCAAAAAATAAATTAAAAAATATATAAAATATATTTTAAGATCATGTTTAATCATCTGATTCGTCTGTACATTGCTGTTTTAGTCTGTGTTCTTCTAATTAGTGTCTACAGTGTGTGCCTATTGAGCTGTTTAGAGCCATGTGGGACAAAACCCGATCCTGCCCCCTCCCTCTCCCTGTTTAAGTCAATGGTGACTGTAAAAACTACACTGCGCATGCTCAGAGTATTGTCCTATTTAATGTGTGTGGCAAAAAAATAATGACCATAGGGGCATAGAGCTGCCATCCCCACCATACGTCATCTCACATCATTCAGAGCTGATTGGCTGTAAGTACGTGTGCCGCGAAAAGTGTGGTGTGTGAAGAGGAGGAGAGAGAGCTGCAGTGAGGCGTCCTACAACCCGGAAATAAACTGCGCATGGCTTCCCTCCACAAAAAAGCAATGATATTTCTCCATAGGATTTTAGAAAATAGCTCCAAATAAGATCTGTGGGAAACAAACCTGTTAGATAAATGCACGTTTTGTTCAGCCGGATAATATCCACATGTCTACCCTACTTTTATAATTTTCGAATCATAAATCTATTGATTAGATCAGATTTATGATAGACTTTTGAAACTACAAGAACATAAGGAGGACTTTTACAAAAAAGTAATAGAGATTTTTGTCCAGAAGGATAGGCAAATGGACTTCATCTTCATGTCAAGGTAAGACTGCAATTTTACCACCGCCATGAAAATGGGATCTTACTAAGAGAGAACAATTCAATATTTAAATGATAAAATTAAATTGTTTGGGTATCCTTTTGTTGAACTGTCTGTTTAAAATTAATTGAAGCATCAGACAAAAAAAGCTTTTGAAAATAATATTATATTTTGATTTAGGTCAAAATATAATATTTGTAAACCTGAAGAGTCAGAGCCTCACCAGCCATGAACCTCAGAAGCTTATATATA